GAATTAACACCAAAATCATGATTGATAAAATGAAAAAAAAAGATTATTTGGACTTTTAAGTTAAAAAATTTGCTTTGTAAAAGATGTTGTTAAGAGAATAAAAATATGAGAAAGAGGAGGATAAACAAAAGGCAAAGTATTTGGGCCAAGTGATTCTGTCCCTTTTCATAAGGAAAACAGCTTTTCCAAAAATTCTACTAGTATTCTTCTTTTTACTTCTCATTGGTCAGAATTATATTACATGGGTACTCCTTGCCACAGGGAAGTCTGGAAAATTGAGGTTTTTTAATGGCATACATTGCTACTCTGATAAAATCAGGTTCTGGTTAATGAAGAAGAAAGTCAGAATGAAAACTGGGAGGGCAATAGTAATTTAGACAGTGTAGTACTATGATGAGGGGAGACATTTCTCAAAGGAAGATTGCAATGGCCAATAAACATATGAAAAAAAAGTGCTCAACACTGGAAATAAAAATTAGAACCATGATGAGATGCCACTTTACTACCACCAAAGACTAACCATCAAATGTTAGAATGCAGAATAACTGTAACTTTTGTTGATGGGAAGGAAAAATTGTACAATCACTTTGAGAAAAGATGGAGAGGTTTTGCTTTTAAATAAAGGAAAATATACATTTATTCCCTGAACAGCATTTTCTCTCTTAGGTATTTGTATTGTAGAAATTAAAATATATGTTCTCAAAAATACTTACACATGAATTTTCATTTTTATATTTACTCACAATATCCAAAACCAGAAACAACTTAAGTGTCTGTCAGTAGGATAATGGATAACAAACTGTGGTATGGCCATACAGTTGAATACATATCAGCAAAAAAATAAAATAAAATAAAATAAAAGATGAGAGGGAAATAATACACATCACATGGATGAATTTCAAAGCCACTACACTGAGTAAGAGAATCCAAACACAGATGATTATATTCTATGTGATTCAAACTATATGAACTTGAAAAAAAGGCAAAACTGGTTTATGACATAGAAATCAGAAGGGTGGTTTCTGAAGCAGATTGTAGGAATTGACTGGGAAAGAACAGAGGAAATTTGTCTGAATGATGAAAATGTTCTAAATCTTAAGAGGTGTGTTGGTTACATGATTACACTCATTTGTCAAAATTCGTTGACTCTTACAATTAAGATCTGTACATGACATTAAATGTAACATATAGATTGCACTCAATTTAAAAGGTGGTCACAACTTTCCATCTATGTATTCTTGCCCTTTAAAATGTCATTTTACATTACTTTCTGTCAAGAGGTAGTGGACTTTATTTCCCTGCCCCTTGACTTTAGGATGAACTTATGACTTGCTTTAGTCAAATACAGTATAGTGGAAGTGATAATGTATTAAAATAATTAAACAGGAGCCCATTAGACTGAGATGGCTCCATCGCCTTGGGGGTGTCTACATAAGTAAACTGAAATGCATTTCTTGAAATTGATTCAGAGGGAAATGAATTAGAAATCTGCCAACTAACTTCTAACTAGAAATTTTCCACCAGATAGTGCAAATAAGACAACTATATAACAGTAACTAATCATTTACTTAATGCATTTCTTGAAATTGATTCAGAGGAAATGAAACTTGAGTTTAACCAATCAGAATCTGCCAACTAAATTCTAACTAGAAATTTTCCACCAGGTAGTGCAAATAAGACAATTACGTAACAGTAACCAATTATTTACTTTGATTCTTCATTTACCTTATTAAAGCCTTTTCTTAAAACTCTTCTCATAGAGCTCCAACCCTAAGCCACAATGGGTGGTACCTGATTTATGAATCACTGTTCACTCGATAAATTCTTTAAGGTTGTTAATGTGCTTCAATTTAATTGTTAACACATGCCAATGTTGTCATAGGCCTCAAAAGTCTTTGTACATTGTCTACTTTCTCTTAAACCCTGTTCAGTCACCATACAGCAATCCATAGCTAGTTTGCTAGATAATGAGAATGAAACCAAAAAAAAGTCTGTGCAGCCCTTAGCTAATCAAGATACACTAGTGAACCTAATCAATACTACAACCACCCAGCTAAGACAAAGAAGTGATTACTGTTTTATGTCACTAAGTTTTGAGTGGGTTTGTTAGGTAGTAAAAGCTATGTAATATATACCAAAATAGCTAAAAGTTGAGGCTTTGCATACCCTGGACCCCATAAATGCATCAATGTACAAAGTTATGATTTAATAAAAAATAATTAATTAAAAAAAGAAAAAGTTGAGGCTTTGTAGTAATAAATTATGTCCCATGAATGAACTTCGGTATATTACCTATTTTGAATTTTTATTAATCTTTAAAAAGTAGAAAATGAATTAACCTTGGTAAAGGAACACCTTTTATAGTCAACACCAGAGGTATTGTAGTATTTCTATTAATAAAATACTCCATAGGAGGTTGTCGACAGATTTTCTAAAGCAGTCCCAGATGCAGTTTATGGGATGCTATTGTCTGAATATTTATCTCCTCCAAAACTCATCTTAAAACTGAATCACTAATGTGGCAGTTTTGAGAAGTGGGGCCTTTAAGAGCTACTTAGATCATGAAGGCTCTGCCCTTATAAGCAGATTAATCCATTCATGAATTAATGCATTAATGGGTTAATGGATTAATGAGTATCCATTAATGGGAGAGGAAATGATGGCTTTATAAGAAAACAAAAAGAGACCTGAGCTAGCATGTTAGTAAGTTTAGGCCCCCACCCCCCTACCATGTGATACCCTGCACCTCAGGACTCTTCAGAGTGTTCACCAGCTGGAGGCTCTCACCAGATATGTTCCCTCAACCTTGGACTTCTGAGCCTCCAGAATTGTAAGAAATAAGTTTTATTTTTTATAAAT